CCAACACGCAGGTATAGGGGTGCTGGTCGGGGCGTGTAACATAACAATGACATCATACAACATGTGACACGGAGAGGTAACAGACATTTACTGAGAGGAATATAAAATAATGGCGGTGAGATTTCCGCGTGTCATTGTAGAGATTTGTCACTCGGGTTCCTCGTCCTCTGACCAGCTCAGGCTGTCATCAGAGTCCTCTCCGGCACCGTCTTGTGGTACCAGTTCTGGGTCTGGTTCTGATTCGGCTGTATTTTGCGGGTTGGAAGCCGTCAGCTCCAATCTCCCCCATGTGACCGGATCCGACTTCTGCAGCGTCATTTCTGCCTTTGTGGGGAACAAACTCACAAAACTTTTATCCACATCGATGACCTGCCGAGACAAAGGAAACGTTCCTGAGAAGGTGAGAGGAGCAGAAGGGTGGCGAGATTCAAACCCTGCACCTCCATGTGCCTCTATGTACCTCCATATACCTCCATATACCTCCATGTGCCTCCATATACCTCCATGTGCCTCCATATACCTCCATGTACCTCCATATACCTCCATGTGCCTCCATGTACCTCCATGTGCCTCCATATACCTCCATGTACCTCCATATACCTCCATGTGTCTCCATGTACCTCCATGTGTCTCCATGTACCTCCATGTGTCTCCATGTACCCCCATGTGCCTCCATGTACCTCCATGTGTCTCCATGTACCTCCATGTGTCTCCATGTACCCCCATGTGCCTCCATGTACCTCCATGTGTCTCCATGTACCTCCATGTGTCTCCATGTACCCCCATGTGCCTCCATGTACCTCCATGTGTCTCCATGTACCTCCATGTGTCTCCATGTGCCTCCATGTACCTCCATATACCTCCATGTGCCTCCATGTACCTCCATATACCTCCATGTACCTCCATGTACCTCCATGTGCCTCCATGTACCTCCATGTGTCTCCATGTACCTCCATGTGCCTCCATGTACCTCCATGTACCTCCATGTGCCTCCATGTGTCTCCATGAACCTCCATGTGCCTCCATGTGCCTCCATGTACCTCCATGTGTCTCCATGTGTCTCCATGTACCTCCATGTGTCTCCATGTACCTCTATGTGTCTCCATGTACCTCCATGTACCTCCATGTGTCTCCATGTACCTCCATGTGCCTCTACCGTGTTTCCCCGAAAATAAGACACTGTCTTATATTTTTTTGACCTCAAAAAAACACACTAGGCCTTATTTTCGGGGTAGGTCCTTATTTTAATTTTTTATGTACAACAGTCTACATGTATTCATGTACACAAATATGGTGATCAGGGGTGCCGTACCTTTCCAAGAGCAATTTGGTAACCAATCAATGGCCAGAATGAGCAAAGCTTTCACTATGGATTCCTCACAGGCGGGACGCATTTGGTATCACTCCGCCTGTGACAGGAGGCGGGGCTATAGAGGAGGCATCGGCTTATGCGGCTCTGCTCCCTCCGCTGCCGCCTCGCTTCCTCTAGCGCCGGCTTCGTTGGCACCGCTGAATTGTCTCCCGCGGCTCTTCAAGTTCCCCCTTATGCCACCACCGGCCCTGGGAATGGTCACAACTAGGTCTTATTTTCGGGGAAACAGGGTATGTACCTCCATATACCTCCATGTGCCTCTATGTGCTTTCATGTGCTTCCATCTACATATATGTGCCTCCATTCACCTCCATATGCCTACATGTACCTCCATGTACCTCAATGTACCTCCATGTTTCTCTATCTACATCTATGTGCCTCCATATGCCTACATGTACATCCATGCGCCTCCATGTATCGCCATTTGCCTCTATGCACCTCCAAGTGCCTCCATGTACCCCTATGTACCTCCATATGCCTACAAGCACCTCCATGTGCCTCCATGTATCTCCATGTACTTCCATGTGCCTCCATGTACCTCCATGTGCCTCCGTGTACCTCCATGTACCTCCATATGCCTCCATGTACCTCCGTGTACCTCTATGCACCTCCAAGTGCCTCCATGTACCCCTATGTACCTCCATATGCCTACAAGCACCTCCATGTGCCTCCATGTATCTCCATGTACTTCCATGTGCCTCCATGTACCTCCATGTGCCTCCGTGTACCCCTATGTACCTCCATGTGCCTCCATGTACCTCCAGGACAGGAAAAGGAAATAGACAAATAATTCCCGGAGCAGTGCGGCTCAGCCATGGAGAGTGCAGCGCAGCGGTGGTCTCCTATCAGGCACAATGTCCCATGAAGACCTGACACCGAGCCGCCACACGGGGGCGCACTCACTGCTCTGGAGGGGGCGCACTCACTGCTCTGGAGGGGGCGCACTCACTGCTCTGGAGGGGGCGCACTCACTGCTCTGGAGGGGGCGCACTCACTGCTCTGGAGGGTCCTTTCAGCAAATGTGACCCCGGAGACGAGGGCTCCACCTGCTGGATCATGAGGGGCCCGAGATTCACACATTGATTCACACGGGTGAAAGCATTCATAAATAGAAGGAAGCAATGAACATGTCACTTAGCGCTGACCTGCAATGAATGGAGAGAGGAAGCATGCGCACAGCCAATCCCGCAGCGGATACACTACTTACACCCCACAGCTCCAGCTTCTTCCTGAACTCTTTCTCCTTCTCAAAGGTGATCTGAATGTCCAGCTGCAGGGAGAGGCAGATACTATAAGAGCCAGTTCAGTTCAGACCGCACTTGTTATCTTAGAACATATTATTATTATACAGGGTTCATAGAGCGCCAACAGTGTGCGCAGTGCTGTACAATATAAGGAAGACATTACAATCACAATACAATTCAAGACAAGATGGTAAGGAGGGCCCCGCCCCTGAGGGCTTACAATCTAAGAGGGAGGGGCCTGACCCTGAGGGCTTACACTCTAACAGGGAGGGGCCTGACCCTGAGGGCTTAAACTCTAAGAGGGAGGGCCCTGACCCTGAGGGCTTACAATCTAAGAGGGAGGGCCCCGTCCCTGAGGGCTTACAATCTAAGAGGGAGGGGCCTGACCCTGAGGGCTTACACTCTAACAGGGAGGGGCCTGACCCTGAGGGCTTAAACTCTAAGAGGGAGGGCCCTGACCCTGAGGGCTTACAATCTAAGAGGGAGGGCCCTGACCCTGAGGGCTTACAATCTAAGAGGGAGGGCCCTGACCCTGTGGGCTTACAATCTAAGAGGGAGGGCCCTGACCCTGCTTACAACCTAAGAGGGAGGGCCCTGACCCTGAGGGCTTACAATCTAACAGGGAGGGGCCTGACCCTGAGGGCTTACACTCTAACAGGGAGGGGCCTGACCCTGAGGGCTTACACTCTAAGAGGGAGGGCCCTGACCCTGAGGGCTTACAATCTAAGAGGGAGGGCCCTGACCCTGAGGGCTTACAATCTAAGAGGGAGGGCCCTGACCCTGAGGGCTTACACTCTAAAATAGATCAAGGCATCAGCCTGTATTATACCCGGGTCATATCATAAGCTCCACCCACAATCTCTCAGCAGATCACAATTCTTTATTTTATTTATAGTGGATCTGAACTAAAAATATTCATTATGTCTTAACCAAATCCTTACCTGGGATTCCTCCTGATATCAGAGCACTTCCTGTGTCCCCGGAGCTGTATGTCTGCAGTGTGAGATCATCTCAGGCACTGCTGCCTCTGGGAGTATCACCTGATCTGGAGGTGATGTCACTGCTGTGCTGGAGAGGAAGCTGCACCTGAGGACCTGCAGTGCCAGGATCTCCCTGCTTCTCCTTCATCCATTCTATGGCTCCCTCCACCTCTATCATTACCTCACCGGTCACCAAGGGGGGGCAGCTATAACATGAGGAAGCAAAGCCCCGCCTCTAACAAGATGGCCGCCTCCACACAGAGACACGGTGCAGGACAAGGCATTGTAAGTGAGTGATGGGATATACATCAGGTGCAGGGACCCCACACACAGTGCTGGTGACTGGCCCTTGTTATGGGCTCAGCTTCCCCGGTACAGGTCCTCTTTATACAAGTGCTGAGTTGTCTGGACGTGGAATCTCTTACCTGCGTGCGATTGGCCTGAATCTTGGTCAGCTCCGGTATCGATGTTTTGGCGTAAGCCGTGATGTAGACGAGGCTGCTGGTCTGATGCCAGTCATACCGACATGAAACTTCCTGAGAAAGAAACAGACGTCAGGTGATGAACCCGGAGAAGACAAAGGTGTGATGTCAACTATGAATGTTGGGTTCACATCACTGTAGGTGATGGAAGCTCATCATACACTTTATGCACGGCATTCTATTAAATAAACCCTCTTCAGGTACTGATGCATTCCAATTCATCCCCAAAGGTGCTCAGTAGGGTTGAGGTCGGGGCTCTGTGCAGGACACTCGGGTTCCTCCACCACACTGGTCATACCATGACTTTATGGAGCTGGCTTTGTGCACAGGGGACAGTCATGGGGGGGACAGAAAACTGTGACCACAAGGCTGGAAGATCACAGTAGTCTAAAATGCCCATTTGTGAGGTCAGGTGCTGATGTTGGATGAGAAGACCGGGCTCACAATTGACCTTTTAATTCATCCCAGAGGTGGTCAGTAGAGATGAGGTCAGGGCTCTGTGTAGGACACTCAGGTTCCTCCACCAAGCTGTGACCACAAGGCTGGAAGAGGACAATTGTCTCCAATGTCTTTGTATGATGGAGGAGGAACAGAACCTTCACTGGAGACCCCTGACCTCCGTCACTGGAGACCCCTGACCTCCGTCACTGGAGACCCCTGACCTCCATCATTGGGGGGGTCCACATACGTCCGTCTATACAACGTATGTCAGATGCCCCCTAATCTTTGTCTTATGTAATATTCCATGATCTTATTTTCATACTGACACAAGGATGTTGTCACTGAGTGTCAGAGTGAAGAATGGGATGAAGATGACACCCATACAACACCAACAGAGGTTTTTGGCACATCCAGACTGAGGGGTGAGATGATCCCGTTTGTCCCGGGGACATGATCACCATCCTCATCCTCACCTTCTTCCCAGGCGGCGGCACCCACAGATGTCTCCCGTTGCTGCACCCCTTCTGATCCAGGAATTCATTGAAGTCGCTGGTTTTGATGCCACAACAGGACCAATACTTCATCCTAAGGAGAGAAATCAGCACCGCTCACAGCTGGACCAGCCAGGAACATACATGATACCGAAGGTCCAACAAACCCCTGAGCCCAGTTCTGTCATGTGTGTTAGTGAAGGACTGGACACGTCGCCCGCTCGGCCACGCGTGGCTCAAACTTCGGAGCCCTGAATACAATCCGGTGAGATTCCCCCGTCCGCTCCGTGGTGTGTGGCAGGTGGAGCTCTGATCTAGGTCTGGGGCCCGGATCATCACCCTGGTCTGGGGACCGGGTTAAATCACCCAGGTCTGGGGCCCGGATCATCACCCAGGTCTGGGGCCCGGATCATCACCCAGGTCTGGGTCCCAGATCATCACCCAGGTCTGGGTCCCGGATCATCACCCAGGTCTGGGGCCCGGATCATCACCCAGGTCTGGGTCCCGGATCATCAATTTTATGATTGTTGTATGATTGGACATTTGTAAACAGACAAATAAATCTCACATTGCTCTCCTTACCCCTCATGGAAGACGGGCACCCCGGAGTGATAAGCACATGTTCCCTCGTCACCCTCTGGCCCCTGATAAACCTGCGGAGAAGGTCGGTGTGATCAGAAGACGTCCATTCACTTCCTTCCCCATTATGGCACAGCAATGACTTCCATACACACAGCCTGACGTCCTCCTCACCTCTTTGCAGCCGGAGCGCTTACACCTTGTCCCCGGCGCTACCACCGCCGCGTCCGCTGAGAGAGACAAAGCAGAAAATCTCAATGTACGAAAAGTTTATCTGCCAGAAATAAAACCATTGAGATCACATGACATCATTCAAGGGGCCCATTCAGAGCAGAGAGGCCATATCTGTTCAACCTCCACCGGACACGGCAAGTCACATGACAGATGACAGTTCTGGTAATGGCGCCCTACTGCCATTGATATGTATTATGCTCCCGAGTCCTGGAACAAGTGGAGTGCAAAGCTTATATCTAATGACCACAGCCGTGCTTTATACCTCTATAAATGGGCCCCAACCTTCATCTGATGGCAACATAAGAGGTCCTCCTCGTACCTTTCTCCTGCTCCTCGGCCTTCACTGACAGCGTGAGCTTCTCCAGTTCCTGTTCAAGTGATCGGGAGACTTTGAGCTCAAGAGGTCGCATCTCCTCCTGTGTGCTGGAATCATATGTAGACTGACTGTAAAAACCACACCGTGCACACACATCCAGAACAGTCTGCATCATCAGGCCCTACACTGGGGGGCAATGGAGGAGCCATGCAAGGATCAGGCCCTACACTGGGGGGCCAAGGAGGGACCATGCAAGGATCAGGCACTACACTGGGGGGGGCCATGGAGGAACCATGCAAGGATCAGGCCCTACACTGGGGGGCAATGGAGGAACCATGCAAGGATCAGGCCCTACACTGGAGGGGCCATGGAGGAACCATGCAAGGATCAGGCCCTACACTGGGGGGCCAAGGAGGCACCATGCAAGGATCAGGCCCTACAATGGGGGGCCAAGGAGGGACCATACAAGGATCAGGCCCTACACTGGAGGGGCCATAGAGGAACCATGCAAGGATCAGGCCCTACACTGGAGGGACCATGGAGGAACCATGCAAGGATCAGGCACTACACTGGAGGGGCCATGGACGTACCATGCAAGGATCAGGCCCTACACTGGAGGACCCATGGAGGAACCATGCAAGGATCAGGCCCTACACTGGAGGGGCCATGGAGGAACAATGCAAGGATCAGGCACTACACTGGAGGGGCCATGGAGGTACCATGCAAGGATCAGGCCCTACACTGGGGGGGCCATGGAGGAGCCATGCAAGGATCATGCCCTACACTGGGGGGCAATGGAGGAACCATGCAAGGATCAGGCCCTACACTGGAGGGGCCATGGAGGAACCATGCAAGGATCAGGCACTACACTGGAGGGGCCATGGAGGTACCATGCAAGGATCAGGCCCTACACTGGAGGGCCATGGAGGTACCATGCAAGGATCAGGCCCTACACTGGGGGGCAATGGAGGTACCATGCAAGGATCAGGCCCTACACTGGAGGGCCAAGGATGAACCATGCAAGGATCAGGCCCTACACTGGAGGGCCCATGGAGGAACCATGCAAGGATCAGGCACTACACCGGAGGGGCCATGGAGGTACCATGCAAGGATCAGGCCCTACACTGGAGGGGCCATGGAGGAACCATGCAAGGATCAGGCCCTACACTGGGGGGCCATGGAGGAACCATGCAAGGATCAGGCCCTACACTGGGGGGGCCATGGAGGAACCATGCAAGGATCAGGCCCTACACTGGGGGGCAATGGAGGAGCCATGCAAGGATCAGGCCCTACACTGGGGGGCCATGGAGGGACCATGCAAGGATCAGGCCCTACACTGGGGGGCCATGGAGGAACCATGCAAGGATCAGGCCCTACACTGGGGGGCCATGGAGGGACCATGCAAGGATCAGGCCCTACACTGGAGGGGCCATGGAGGAACCATGCAAGGATCAGGCCCTACACTGGGGGGGCCATGGAGGAACCATGCAAGGATCAGGCCCTACACTGGGGGGGCCATGGAGGAACCATGCAAGGATCAGGCCCTACACTGGAGGGCCATGGAGGTACCATGCAAGGATCAGGCCCTACACTGGGGGGCAATGGAGGAACCATGCAAGGATCAGGCCCTACACTGGAGGGGCCATGGAGGAACCATGCAAGGATCAGGCCCTACACTGGGGGGCCAAGGAGGCACCATGCAAGGATCAGGCCCTACAATGGGGGGCCAATGGGGGACCATACAAGGATCAGGCCCTACACTGGAGGGGCCATAGAGGAACCATGCAAGGATCAGGCCCTACACTGGAGGGCCCATGGAGAAACCATGCAAGGATCAGGCACTACACTGGAGGGGCCATGGACGTACCATGCAAGGATCAGGCCCTACACTGGAGGACCCATGGAGGAACCATGCAAGGATCAGGCCCTACACTGGAGGGGCCATGGAGGAACAATGCAAGGATCAGGCACTACACTGGAGGGGCCATGGAGGTACCATGCAAGGATCAGGCCCTACACTGGAGGGCCATGGAGGTACCATGCAAGGATCAGGCCCTACACTGGGGGGCAATGGAGGTACCATGCAAGGATCAGGCCCTACACTGGAGGGCCAAGGATGAACCATGCAAGGATCAGGCCCTACACTGGAGGGCCAAGGGGGAACCATGCATGAATCAGGCCCTACACTGGAGGGGCAATGGAGGAGCTATGCAAGGATCATGCCCTACACTGGGGTGCCAAGGAGGAACCATGCAAGGATCAGGCCCTACACTGGGGGGCCATGGAGGAACCATGCAAGGATCAGGCCCTACACTGGGGGGCCAAGGAGGAACCATGCAAGGATCAGGCCCTACACTGGGGAGCCAAGGAGGAACCATAAGGAGGAACCATGCAAGGATCAGGCCCTACACTGGGGGGCCAAGGAGGAACCATGCAAGGATCAGGCCCTACACTGGGGAGCCAAGGAGGAACCATACAAAGATCAGGCCCGGCCTATGATCTATGCCAGACTAGAATGTGACAGGTCCATACATATATATATATATACATTGAATATTGTGTACAGCCAAGTGTAGGGGCCGCTCAGGATGCAGTAAGTGTTGGTTTTATCGGATCTGCTGGACTTTAGCCAACCATCAGAGACCAAAAACCTCTAAAATATCATCAACATTGTAAACGTTATTCTGAAAGTAGATTCCTCTACGATGGAGCGTGTACCGAGTGACATATGACGGATACATATCATAGATTGTGTACATTGGACGGACACTATTCAATCATTACATTTACAGTCATACCAACTGCAGGGGAACTAACATACAATATATAGCAGGAAGACAATCTGGGACGCTCATGGGTTGGGGGAGGCAACTGCAAATTAATGGCCATGTGAGGGGGTGGGTAACTCCATATTAATGGCCATTAGGGGGGCAACTCCAAATCAATAGCCATGAGCGTGGAGGGGCACCTCCATATTATGGTGAAGGTTTGGAATGGGATGGCAAACAAGATCATACAGGGGTGGTGGTCGGGTCCCCGGACTTTGGGCCATATAGTGTATACATCAGAATCCTCTTCAGCGGTAAACTTCATTTGATATTCAGTGTGTCCATGAATGTGGAAATCCATCAACCTCAGAGAGGGGAGCGCACACATTATGGACACACCCCCGAGGAGCCCCTCACACATGCACATTATCTGTCAATGTTCTTGAAGACGGGGCCCGATGTTCTGACACGTGTTACTTTGACTCTTTTAGGTTGGACGTCACTGGGACACTTGTGGCCTCCTCTACCCATCTCCATATTCCAGGCTATCACAGTACTTGGCTCACACATGACCTTCTCACAGACATTTTCTATCCTTACCTCGGCCTCTCCCTCATCATCTTCTCTGCAGACTTGGGGCCTTGTACAATGATTTCCGTGCACTGGGCCGGGTCATCGGTCGCATTCTTGCTTCCAGAGATGTCGGGTTTTAGAGGTTCTAATGGTTTCTCGTTGCTGTGAGGACCCTTAGTGCAGCCCTAAGGAGAGGAAACACCCACAATGGTTAGACCACCAAGAGACAATGGATACACCTCTATGGGGGTTAGATGGTGCAGTCTACTAATCAAACGTCTGAGGAGACAAAGAGGACTCTGTGTGTGACTGAGCTATAGAGGGACTTGTGACTCTTCTCTAATGATCCCTTACAGTTCTGCTACTGAACTGGTACAGACTAGTCCAGGTGTGGACAGAGAGAAACCTCAGGAAACGGTATAAATAATATTCAGATTGTGTTTCAGTGCTGCTCCGGGGTGCACCCCACCGATGCCTTATGGGAAAAAGATGCGACTGACGATGAAGAGCAGAAATGACTTAGTGTAGGTGAGCAATACCCCAATAATACCCCAATAATACCCAAATAATACCCCAATAATACCCCAATAATACCCAAATAATACCCCAATGATACCCCAATAATAACCAAATAATACCCCAATAATACCCCAATGATATCCCAATAATGGAGGAAAGAAACAGAGACCTTTTGGGTCCAAAATGAATTACACATATTATGGTCAAAAGTCTGTGAGCACCTGACCACCACACTTATATCACCTTGTAGGACACCCCCTTCCAAAACCACGACCATTAATATAGAGTTGCCCCATTTGTGGTTCTACCATCCCCCACTCCTCTGGGGAGGCTTTCCACAAGATTGTGGAGGGGTCTGTGGGAATTTGTCCCGTGTGTGAGGTCAGGTTCTGATGTTGGATAAGAAGACCCGGGCTAACAATCGGCGTTCCAATTCATCCCAAAGACGTTTTGTAGATCTCCTTTGTCATGAATTGGACCGCCGATTGTGAATCGGGTCTTCTGGTCTTGGGGCTCCTCCAGGTTTCTAAGGGTTTCTTGAGAAGTGAGCACAGATCTCCTGTCTACAAGTCTCTCATTGCTCTCTTCTGAAAGAACCCCAAGATGAGAAGACCTGGCTCCAAATTATCTAAAGCTGTGCAGTAGGGTTGAGGTCGGGGCTCTGTGCAGGACACTCGGGTTCCTCCACCAAGCTGGTCCCACCATGTCTGTATGGACCCCCCCCCTCCCCTCCCCCCATGTCTGTATGGAGCTGGCTTTGTACACAGGGGACAGTCATGGGGGGGGGGGCAGAAAAGGGCCTTCGCCAAACTGTGACCACAAGGCTGGAAGAGCCCAATTGTCTACAATGTCTTTGTATGACGGAGGTTCACCAGAACCTTCACTGGAGGCACCTGAACCCCATCATTCGGAGGGAGGTCCATGTACTTTTGGCTGTGTAGGTTGGTGTGATAGTTGAGGGTCCTCCAAACATTTGGCTATATAATGTATCTCTGTAGCCGGGTGAGAGGTCGGAGTATGAAATGTGATACAGAAGGGAGGAGATAGAAGGAACATTATGAGATACTTTGTAGATAAGAGAAGTCAGAGGATGGATGAAGGACCTCCATTACTACACCTCCATCATGAGACCTCCATCACGAGACCTCCATCACGAGACCTCCATCATGAGACCTCCATTACAAGACTTCCATTACAAGACTTCCATTACAAGACTTCCATTACGAGACCTCCAGTATGAGACCTCCAGTACGAGACCTCCAGTATGAGACCTCCAGTACGAGACCTCCAGTACGAGACCTCCAGTACGAGACTTCCATTACGAGACTTCCATTATGAGACTTCCATTATGAGACCTCCAGTACGAGACCTCCATTACAAGACCTCCATTACAAGACCTCCATTACGAGACCTCCATTATCGGACACCAGCAGAGACACTCACCTTGATGGCCAGAAATTCAGAAAAGTCCGTGACGGGTCATCGGTCGCATTCTTGCTTCCAGAGATGTCGGGTTTTAGAGGTTCTAATGGTTTCTCGTTGCTGTGAGGACCCTTAGTGCAGCCCTAAGGAGAGGAAACACCCACAATGGTTAGACCACCAAGAGACAATGGATACACCTCTATGGGGGTTAGATGGTGCAGTCTACTAATCAAACGTCTGAGGAGACAAAGAGGACTCTGTGTGTGACTGAGCTATAGAGGGACTTGTGACTCTTCTCTAATGATCCCTTACAGTTCTGCTACTGAACTGGTACAGACTAGTCCAGGTGTGGACAGAGAGAAACCTCAGGAAACGGTATAAATAATATTCAGATTGTGTTTCAGTGCTGCTCCGGGGTGCACCCCACCGATGCCTTATGGGAAAAAGATGCGACTGACGATGAAGAGCAGAAATGACTTAGTGTAGGTGAGCAATACCCCAATAATACCCCAATAATACCCAAATAATACCCCAATAATACCCCAATAATACCCAAATAATACCCCAATGATACCCCAATAATAACCAAATAATACCCCAATAATACCCCAATGATATCCCAATAATGGAGGAAAGAAACAGAGACCTTTTGGGTCCAAAATGAATTACACATATTATGGTCAAAAGTCTGTGAGCACCTGACCACCACACTTATATCACCTTGTAGGACACCCCCTTCCAAAACCACGACCATTAATATAGAGTTGCCCCATTTGTGGTTCTACCATCCCCCACTCCTCTGGGGAGGCTTTCCACAAGATTGTGGAGGGGTCTGTGGGAATTTGTCCCGTGTGTGAGGTCAGGTTCTGATGTTGGATAAGAAGACCCGGGCTAACAATCGGCGTTCCAATTCATCCCAAAGACGTTTTGTAGATCTCCTTTGTCATGAATTGGACCGCCGATTGTGAATCGGGTCTTCTGGTCTTGGGGCTCCTCCAGGTTTCTAAGGGTTTCTTGAGAAGTGAGCACAGATCTCCTGTCTACAAGTCTCTCATTGCTCTCTTCTGAAAGAACCCCAAGATGAGAAGACCTGGCTCCAAATTATCTAAAGCTGTGCAGTAGGGTTGAGGTCGGGGCTCTGTGCAGGACACTCGGGTTCCTCCACCAAGCTGGTCCCACCATGTCTGTATGGACCCCCCCCCTCCCCTCCCCCCATGTCTGTATGGAGCTGGCTTTGTACACAGGGGACAGTCATGGGGGGGGGGGCAGAAAAGGGCCTTCGCCAAACTGTGACCACAAGGCTGGAAGAGCCCAATTGTCTACAATGTCTTTGTATGACGGAGGTTCACCAGAACCTTCACTGGAGGCACCTGAACCCCATCATTCGGAGGGAGGTCCATGTACTTTTGGCTGTGTAGGTTGGTGTGATAGTTGAGGGTCCTCCAAACATTTGGCTATATAATGTATCTCTGTAGCCGGGTGAGAGGTCGGAGTATGAAATGTGATACAGAAGGGAGGAGATAGAAGGAACATTATGAGATACTTTGTAGATAAGAGAAGTCAGAGGATGGATGAAGGACCTCCATTACTACACCTCCATCATGAGACCTCCATCACGAGACCTCCATCACGAGACCTCCATCATGAGACCTCCATTACAAGACTTCCATTACAAGACTTCCATTACAAGACTTCCATTACGAGACCTCCAGTATGAGACCTCCAGTACGAGACCTCCAGTACGAGACCTCCAGTACGAGACTTCCATTACGAGACTTCCATTATGAGACTTCCATTATGAGACCTCCAGTACGAGACCTCCATTACAAGACCTCCATTACAAGACCTCCATTACGAGACCTCCATTATCGGACACCAGCAGAGACACTCACCTTGATGGCCAGAAATTCAGAAAAGTCCGTGGTGCGTTTTCGGCAACAGGACCAACCCTGAGACAAGAAAATAAAGAGCTCCTCAGTGACAATGACCAGATCTCGGAGGACGGAGATAGGATGTGGAGACCTGTACTGACCTTCAGAGCGTCATGGAAGATGGGATATCCCGGGTGGAAGAGACACGCGTCTGTGGAGAAGGAGAATTTGTTTTATATCTGGCTGTGCTGTGTGGCAGAGTTGTGTAAATATCAGGACTGGATGGACAGTCAGCTGTACACTCACCTGTAGAATTGTCGGCGAGCAGAAATCGTTGTCCACATCCCTTGTTATAACAGAGCGCGTGGTCACTAGAGGCGTCCAGACTCCGCCCCTCACCATTCATGATGACTGACATCCAACGAGGCCACGGATTGGACGGTGCAGAGGGGGCCGAGGACGTCTGTGATAGATCTCTGACCGGCACCACCGCCGGCGCGACAATTCCCTACAGTACACGGGAACAACGAGGAAGCATTATAACCACAACCAGCCAATGGAGCGCACCCAACCCAGGAACTCAGCACAGGGACGGCGGGGGCCCCTCATAATGGGCACAGCGGGGGTACAGACCCGGGAACTCAGCACAGGGATGGTGGGGGCTCCTCATAATGGGCACAGCGGGGGTACAGACCCGGGAACTCAGCACAGGGATGGTGGGGGCTCCTCATAATGGGCACAGCGGGGGTACAGACCCGGGAACTCAGCACAGGGATGGTGGGGGCTCCTCATAATGGGCACAGCGGGGGTACAGACCCGGGAACTCAGCACAGGGATGGTGGGGGCTCCTCATAATGGGCACAGCGGGGGTACAGACCCGGGAACTCAGCACAGGGATGGTGGGGGCTCCTCATAATGGGCACAGCGGGGGTACAGACCCGGGAACTCAGCACAGGGATGGTGGGGGCTCCTCATAATGGGCACAGCGGGGGTACAGACCCGGGAACTCAGCACAGGGATGGTGGGGGCTCCTCATAATGGGCACAGCGGGGGTACAGACCCGGGAACTCAGCACAGGGATGGTGGGGGCTCCTCATAATGGGCACAGCGGGGGTACAGACCCGGGAACTCAGCACAGGGATGGTGGGGGCTCCTCATAATGGGCACAGCGGGGGTACAGACCCGGGAACTCAGCACAGGGATGGTGGGGGCTCCTCATAATGGGCACAGCGGGGGTACAGACCCGGGAACTCAGCACAGGGATGGTGGGGGCTCCTCATAATGGGCACAGCGGGGGTACAGACCCGGGAACTCAGCACAGGGATGGTGGGGGCTCCTCATAATGGGCACAGCGGGGGTACAGACCCGGGAACTCAGCACAGGGATGGTGGGGGCTCCTCATAATGGGCACAGCGGGGGTACAGACCCGGGAACTCAGCACAGGGATGGTGGGGGCTCCTCATAATGGGCACAGCGGGGGTACAGACCCGGGAACTCAGCACAGGGATGGTGGGGGCTCCTCATAATGGGCACAGCGGGGGTACAGACCCGGGAACTCAGCACAGGGATGGTGGGGGCTCCTCATAATGGGCACAGCGGGGGTACAGACCCGGGAACTCAGCACAGGGATGGTGGGAGCTCCTCATAATGGGCACAGCGGGGGTACGGACCCATGGGTGGTCAGTGTAGGCAGGGGATGAATCTGGCCCGGCTGAATGAACCCCTGTGGCCCTCTGAAGGACCCCGGGGCTGAGGAAGCCGGCTCTAGATGTTAGATGGTCCGGTCATTGAGAGGAGACGCAGCAGTAGGATACAGAGCTCAGGATATGAGACGTGTGGAAGGACGGAGCCCAGGCTGAGCGGGATCCCGGCCGGATAGTGGGGGCCCCGGGCACGAGGTCCTATATTTAGACATTGGAAGTGCCGGCCCCACACCAAAGATGGAAAGAAGAATGTCAGCAGCTGTGACAGGTGACGGAGGAGAGGAAAGGCCCCGAATGACCCGGAGGAGGAGGAGGATGATAGAGTACAACGCCAGTCACTGGGAGGAAGATTATATGAAAGATCCAGAAGACAATCATGACCGAGGTCTCCGATCCCCAACCAAAGACGTCCCGGTCCCAGCCGATAACCCCAGACACACTTCAACCAATCATTGTCACCTTTCATTATACTAACCCCCGGTGATCCTGCCATGGAGGTCCTTGTTCAGACACTTCCTGTTATAGGGTGACGATGCTCTGTCCTTGTTCAGGCACTTCCTGTTATAGGGTGACAACACTCTGTCCTTGTTCAGACACTTCCTGTTATAGGGTGACAATGCTCTGTCCTTGTTCAGGCACTTCCTGTTATAGGGTGACAACACTCTGTCCTTGTTCAGACACTTCCTGTTATAGGGTGACAATGCTCTGTCCTTGTTCAGGCACTTCCTGTTATAGGGTGACAACGCTCTGTCCTTGTTCAGACACTTCCTGTTATAGGGTGACAATGCTCTGTCCTTGTTCAGACACTTCCTGTTATAGGGCGACAATGCTCTGTCCTTGTTCAGACACTTCCTAGTGTAGGGTAGCAATGCTCTGTCCATGTTCAGTGTCTGAACAAGGACAGAGTGCTGTCACCCTATAACAGGAAGTGTCTGAACAAGGACAGAGCGATGTCACCCTATAACAGGAAGTGCCTGACCAAGGACAGAGCGATGTCACCCTATAACAGGAAGTGTCTTGAACAAGGACAGAGCATTGTCACCCTATAACAGGAAGTGTCTTGAACAAGGACAGAGCATTGTCACCCTATAACAGGAAGTGTCTGAACAAGGACAGAGCGTTGTCACCCTATAGAAAATGACTCGCTAAACTATTGCAGACTTGCCGAGCGGAGTCACCAGGGATCATTATAATGGAAGCTTCAACATTTAAAAGACTTAAAGTGACATTAAACCCTCAGAGTGTGTAACATGAAACAATACGGTCATCCATGGTGGTCTCCCTTCTCTTTGCTGCTCTTCCTTTTAAATCCTCATGTCTTCTCATGCTGGGGGAGAACTTCCCTCTGCAGCTGAGTGCCTTGTCTCTGGAATGGATACACGGTGTCTGTGTATAGGTTTGTATAGGTTCACAACCTGAGCCGGCACTACAGGAAGAGGCACTCAGCTGAAAAGGGAAGTTCTCCCCCAGCATGAGAAGAGATGAGGATTTAAAAGGAAGAGCAGCAAAGAGAAGGGAGACCACCATGGAGTACAGTGCGGCGCACATTACAGTATTGGTTTATGTTACACAACCTGAGGGCTTCATGTCACTAACTCTGTAAATGTTTTATGAGGTCATAGTGATCGGGATTACATCTCCTGTAAGAGGTGTGCGGTCAGAGACTGTCCCCGTCTGAGCTCACTGATCGGGGGATTCCCATGAAACCTTCTTCAGTGAGATCTGATCAGAGTCGTAAAATAAATTCAGAAAACATTAAAAAAAAAAAAAGGATAAACAAACAATGTAAATCTTTATTTACACAGAACGTACAATACAGCAACCAGATCGACCGCGTACCATGTCCCTGTGGTCAGAGCCCTCCAGACGGCTGGTCCATGTGGTCAGAGCCCTCTAGACGGCTGGTCCATGTGGTCAGAGCCCTCCAGACGGCTGGTCCGTGTGGTCAGAGCCCTCCAGACGGCTGGTCCATGTGGTCAGAGCCCTCCAGATGGCTGGTCCATGTGGTCAGAGCCCTCCAGACGGCTGGTCCATGTGGTCAGAGCCCTCCAGACGGCTGGTCCATGTGGTCAGAGCCCTCCAGACGGCTGGTCCATGTGGTCAGAGTCCTCTTGGTCATTTCATAGGCCAGGAAGAGAGCGGCGTTTGAGGGAAAGGCTCTGATCACGGTCGGCATTAGTCCGCCGTACAGGGTGAAGATTCCTGGAAGGAAAGGGAGCCGGTTACCTATACGGAATGTCATGAAGATGAGGAAATCCCTCCCGATTACACTGATGACATCATCACACGAAGTCTCCATCGTCAGGTACAGAAAACCCAAAATTACTTCATTACAGTTCTCCCGACACGTGTAGTTGGACTCCTCAAACAAAATACCCGACCCAACAGATCATGGAGGGGGGAGGGGATGGAGTGAAGATTTTCTTGGATGACCGTTGTGGTGCCGGGCAATCTACATGAACATTACGTGGCCAGAGCTTTGCGTTCCCCTATCAATGGTTGGGCTCAGGTGTCCCGGTAAAGGGGCCAGTGGGGAGGACCTTGCACTAAAATACAAGATCCCCCTCTGATATCCGGCTCTGTGGGCCCATGAGGCAGTCAGAGACCCTGATGAAGGGGAGTTTCTGGGGTCCCGGAATTGCCCTCAATAAAAAAACTTCTCATTGATCTGTATCTAAGCAATAAAACCTGACCGAGGTTCTAAACTCTTCCGGGTTCCATCTAAAAATCGCACATTGTGGCTCCGGAGACACTTTACAGATAAAATAACCCCAACAAGCCAATCCGGGGGAATCTGGAACCCTAAACCTCCATCACAATCTCAGGGTCAGAGGTCATGTGACTCAGTGTCACTCCAGGACTTGTGAGCTCCTCAGACCACAGAGATGGTCCCAACATTCCCCAACCCAACATGAGTCTGACCTTCTCTCTTCAATATGTGCAGCAAGGACAGGAAGAAGCCCTCCTGATGGGATGCCATGGAAAGAACTTGAATTCTCGACTTCACTGAGTCCACCGGATACACGGAAAGCCAGAAACAGGCCCCGCCCACACCACCACTAATGGTGACAACTATGGGACCTGCAAAAAAAGGAAAGCCACAGCATCAAAGAGGAACATGATCTAGTTGACCCCCCCTTCCTCCACCACACCCGCTGGACATCCCCTTCCTCCACCACACCCGCTGGACATCCCCTTCCTCCACCACACCCGCTGGACCTCCCCTTCCTCCACCACACCCGCGGGACATCCCCTCCCTCCACCACACCCGCTGGACATCCCCTTCCTCCACCACACCCGCTGGACCTCCCCTTCCTCCACCACACCCGCTTGACCTCCCCTTCCTCCACCACACCTGCTTGACCTCCCCTTCCTCCACCACACCTGCTTGACCTCCCCTTCCGCCACCACACCCGCTTGACCTCCCCTTCCTCCACCACACCTGGTTGACCTCCAGAATTTCTGTTGAGAAGACTCTTGCTCAGCTCATAGCCACCAAAAAAGAAGAAGTATCCGGGGATCTCCCGCAGCCACGTACTGCTGAGGCCACGGAACAGGCCGGCCGCTCCTTCAGATTTTAGGATATCGCGTACGATGGACCACGGGGTGCTGAGGGCAAAAGAACGCAGAATTATAAAGAGACTTGCAGCGGTGAGACCCATAAAAAGGTTCCCTATAGGGCGGCCGCGTACTCCGGGGACACCGGTATGGAGAGGAATTCCTTATACTGAAAACTTTATTGATATTGTGTTTTCCACATTTACACGCGGGCCAAGCGGTCCAGGAAAAGTGACAGTAACGGGGCCGGGACAAACCATAAAACTGCCAGGGGTCACCTTTCGTTTACAAAATATAAATCGTTCTGTATCGTTCCCTACGATTAAGCCAGATTAGGGCAAAACGCGTTAGTTTGGTGGCATACAGGGACTGTGTGGCATAGCTGGGGTCTAATAAAGTTTTTAACTGTTGACAGCTAAAATACGAGGCACCCCACCTTTTATTGGGGATCCCTTTGTGGCCGGATAGTCTCATCTCATGCTGAGTCTGCATGCGGCACTTCACCAGTTCCGTCGGACAAAGGACCAATGAGGAGAAGACCGAGGCCAGGGAACCTGCAGCAGCCTTGTGATGATCTCTAAGGAGAAACATGAAGAGTCGTATGGGGGTACACAT